AGGCTACAGCCTAGACAAACTTAACTTCTCAATTTTTGGTTCGACAACTTGATTTAGTCACTCCAACATTGTTTATAATGTACGAAAGGCCACACCCTATAGTTCACAAAGTCCTTGAGCCTCCTTTCTTCATAAGAGATATAGATCTAGGACGAAGACAGGCAACCAAGTGGGTGATAGATCTAAAACACAAACCTTACAAGGACAGACTCCAGCACTTCGGACTACCCGTTTTGAGCTACAGGAGAACATAAAGTTATATAATAATTGGTTATGAAATATTCGGTATTCCAAGCCACCCCACACACGAGCATATTATCAAAACGTCATCGTCATGAGCCTTGATGCAATCCTCCAAAAAGTGCACATAAAAGAAACCCAGATAGGCTCTCACTCTTTCTCACCGAGATTTACTCCATCTGAGATGTTTTCCAGACGGAAGTGATCAGAGACCCTCATTGGATAGCATCAAAAATAGACTTGATAAACATGTAATCACCCGTCCGATAACGTCCCCCTGTTGAACCTACTGTGTCTGATGCATGTCTCAAAAATCACCACAATTATCGCTACCACATAATCAGAAACCACTCACAACCTCCCTTATGACCATCCCTGTTTCCCCTCTTCTTCTTACATATTACAAACTGACTAATTTACTCACTTCTTTTCTGAGACAGTCATCTCCTCTTAGCGCTCGAATAATCAATTTACCATTCCAGTACTACAAACAACCGACCACCTTCCTGGTAATATGACGGCTTCTAATATTCAGGATGCTTAATGTTCTAAGACAAACTCACTGAAACTACAAGGTATACAAATCCATGAAAAACTACCAAGTTGACTAAAACTGATGCAGTCGAGCGGCTGGGATACCACTAACTGGATATTACCAAATACCTGAAACCGTGGTGAAACAACAAGAGGTGAAAGCAAAGAAATCTATTGGTTTATGAACTCTTTTGATGAAGATGGTTCCTAAAAACTCTGCAGGTGACTGCACCCACGCCAACAGAGCTAATAAGGACCAGGTGTCACCGTCTAAGGTTGACATCCCAAGTGTTGTACGGACATCAACTGGTGCTTTGATCGCTCAGTCTACCCCCAAGAACGTCCGCCCGGTTATTAAAAAGCCTACGACTCAAAAACTTGCTTCGACCTCCAAACAACAACGTACTGAACCTGAACGTATTGGAAAACCTGGGAAAACAACAACGGTCCGTGATGACTCCCTCATAATCATGAACCTCATAGACAATCCTGACCTTCCTCTCAGTTTGCAGGACAAAAACGACAGGATGCTCTGGGGTGAACTGAACAAATAGCTCGAACTTCCTAGAATAGAGCCTTTGACGGTCACACGGATCACTCGGGGAAAGGAATCTAAACATCAAAACCACCCGAGACTACTCCATGTAACACTCAAGAATGCTACCGAAGTAGAGGATGTCCTGCTAGCCAGTCATCTACTGAAATCCGATGGGAACGTCAGAATACTGCCCGACATACCGTATTCTGAGCGCAATCTCATCCGGAACGTCCCTAAAGATTCTCGAGAGAAGTTTTTCCGCGGAAGAAATATCATCGTGCAAGGTGTGCCGGAAAACATGGACCCTATTCAAGCAAACTCTGACATTCGGGAATGGAAATTCATCAAACAGTCCTTGAGGCTTAAAAACATACTGACTCAGCATGTGATGAGACTAGCCAAGAAGGACGGGGATCCTAGACCCCGACTAATGAGGATAACTTTTCCATCCTCCCATATGGCGGCTGCAGCTCTGGAAGCATTTCGTGTCAACAGACGTCGGTTGCCAACTGGGATCCATATGCACCCGGACAGGCCATACGACGCCAGGATCAAGCACAAAGGCAAGCTGGAGCTGACCATTCCACTTGTGGACTGTCTTCAAGACAAAAAAACGTGTAAAGGACAGGGCCTACCAATTCGACAAAACTTATATAGGTGGGTTACCTGTCCACTCACGTAAGGCTCTCACAGACAAACAGGAAGAAGCTCACGCGTTTCAAATTGAAAGCATTAACTGCTTATACATGAACGCCGCGAGTCTACCAAATAAAATGGATGAACTAAGTGAACTTAGCAACGCTAATAAGGTTCATCTGATAGGAATATCTGAAACTTGGATATCTCCTCAGTATTCGGACCAGGAGCTAGCAATACCTGGGATGTCTCTGTTTCGCAATGACAGAAAAACAGGAATTGGAGGTGGAGTAGCCCTATACATACGATCTGGCCTGGAGGTACACCAAGTTCACAACCACGAGTTTGACAATCTTGAGGAATCCATATGGTGCTCTATGAGATTGTCCACTACTTCGAGGTGCCTAGTCGGAGTCATATATAGGAAGCCCACTGCCGACATCGAGTATGACAGTCGTATGCTGGAAGGACTATCCCGCTCTACGCGTCTCGGATTCACTCATATCCTGATTCTAGGGGACTTCAATCTCCCTAGAGTCAACTTCGCGGAACATACGTATACTGGAGGTGAAAATTCAATCGAAGCTCGGTTCTTCAACCTCATTGAGGATTTGGGACTACACGAAAATGTGAAGTTGGCTACTCGTTGAAGGAACGGTCAGACACCGTCGCGCTTAGACTGTGTTTTTACAAATGAAGAATTTCTAGTCGACAACCTCTCAATTCTGGCTCCCCTGGGGAAAAGCGATCACGCTGTTATAGCCTTCAGTTTCGTCAGCAAAACTGAGCTAAGATATCCCAACAACAACAGGCGCTGGAACTTCAAACGGTTGAATGCGTCAGCTCTACAGGACTATCTACAACAGGTAGATTGGGATGTTCACCCTCAACTTGATGTGGATGCTCATTGGGACTTCTTACTGCACTCGCTCTGAAGTGCTACAAAGCAATCAGTTCCTCAAACGGTCCCCAAAAGCCACAAGCAACCTACAGTCATCAAAAACCACACTCTTCGTTTGCTAAGCCGTAAAAGGCACTGTTGGGCAAAATACAAACGAACCAGCAACAACGGCGAGTACAGGCAATACAAACATATAAGGAACATATGTACGAAGGCTATAAGAGAAGACAGGCTTCAGTATCAGTTAAAGCTTATGGATAAATTTATTTCCAATCCGAAAAGCTTATTCCGTTACGCAGCCTCTCTTCGTCAAGCCAAAACTGGAGTTTCTCAACTGCTAGGTCCTAACGGCCCGACCGATAATGACGGTGACGCCGCTAACCTTCTGGCTGAGCACTACTCCCGGACATTTCAGCCGACCCACATCAACTATACTGATGACGGCTCTATCTGCAACTGCACAGGACTTTCCGTAGTAAAACTGAGCGCTGACTTGGTGTTCCGTAAACTACAACGCCTAAGAACAGACACTTCTCCTGGTCCAGATATGGTCCACTCTGCTATACTGAGGGAAGCAGCTTCAATCCTGGCAACACCGCTTAGCGTGATGTTCTCACACTCGCTAAGTCGAGGCAAACTACCGGATATTTGGAAGCTGGCTCATATCACACCAATCTTCAAAGGAGGTCGACGCAGCGAACCTTCAAGTTACCGACCGGTGGCTCTTCTCTCTATACCTTCAAAGATCATGGAGTCCCTGGTATACGATGGTATACACGACTATCTGCTGTCCTTAAATTTCTTCTCACCTCAACAGCATGGTTTCAGGAAGGGTTATTCCTGTATGACGAACCTGCTGACTGCGGTGGACAGATGGACAAGCATCGTTGATCGCAAGGGGAAGGTAGACATCATTTACCTTGATTTCTCTAAAGCTTTTGATAGGGTTAACCACACATGTCTTATTAACAAGCTCAAACAATTGGGTATCAAACCACCTTTAATTGACTGGCTCAGTTCATATCTCACAAATCGACATTTTAAGGTCAGGGTAAACTTCAATTTCTCACACGCTATGGAATGTCCTAGTGGGGTCCCGCAGGGCTCAGTACTAGGACCTCTCCTCTTCCTGATTTATATAAATGATCTTCCTCAACAGGTAACGTCAGATATATTGCTCTTTGCCGATGACGTGAAACTTTGGAGAGAGATACGCAACCGAGAGGACATACATGCACTTCAGGAGGATCTGACTCGACTTCAAAGTTGGGCAGATGATAACGGACTTACCTTTAACACTTCAAAGTGTAAAGTAGTCCATCTGCGACACGTCGCAGATTACAGTTACAACTTGGGAAACTCCTCTCTAGTAGTATCCCGAGTCGAAAAAGATTTAGGAGTCCTGGTGCCCTACGACTTAAAGTCTTACGCCAAATGTGACAGAAATGCTTTTCGAGCACACCTTGCACCGGTAACATTGAAGCGCATTTTTGGTCAGTTTGACGGGAGAACTTTCCACATAATCTTCAATAGTTTCATTCGTCCCCATTTAGAGTACGGAAACATAGTATTCCCTCCTACACTCCAAAAGGATAAGGACACTATGGAGCGTATCCAACGGCGAGCCACGAAATCAGTTCGGCGACTCAAATTTAAACCTTACGATGAGCGCCTTCAATCACTTAACCTTTACCCATTAGAGTATAGGCGTCTTAGAGGTGACCTTCTAATGACTTACAGCATCCTTAACACACCTAAACATCCTCTTAAACACCTACTTAAGCTTAGTCCCAACACTAACCTAAGGGGTAACACCCAAAAAACTGGAGATACAACATAGTAGAACGGACTGCAGACACAACTTCTACTCCTTAAGAGTTGTCAAATGCTGGAATTTGCTGCCAGCTGAGCTAGTCCAAGCAACTTCCCAGGAGTCCTTTAAGAGGCGACTTGATCTATTCTTAAGGACTAAGGATAGTATCCTACTATGATTTACCAATTCATTTTCTTTCTCTTTTATCGCTAATATACCTAGGTTCTTGCCTGGAGGTATTGGTGATCCCCTGATACTAGACACGGAAGCCTGTTAAGCGAAAGCTTCTTCTATTCCGTCCACAACCATTTGAACCATTTGAAGATATTGAATATAGGATTTACAATAGCTGCGGTACGGCTCTAACATTTGAATTACTCACGTTGTCTAGCTTTGCATTTTGTGAGTATTTTTCGTAATATTTCTATGTGTATGTACCTTACGCTACACTGAACATTATAATCGCTTGAATCCGTAAATGTAATATATGTTTAGTAGTTACTAACAAAGTCAACATGTGGGTTGTAATTCTCAATTGTGTACTCATAAGTCAGATCACCTGTTAACTTTTCAACCCCAGGGTAAAGACAGGTCTTGAGATGCTTGTTCTCCTCACTTTTTAACACATGGATGATCAAATGTGGTTAGATGGTCATATTGGTAGAAAGTATGTGTGAATGTAAATGCTTCATTTATTATTAAAAATAAACCGATTACACTAACTTCCGAATAGTAATTAATAAAGAGATTAATTATCAGTTGCCACTAATTAATCCGATGTCGTCCCGTTTCGACAGTTAGCCAGATATCGTAAACTCCCGTTTGGATTTCACTGTTGCTTCACATCATAAGAATTGCTGTCAAGCTAATGACTCAGCTCGAAATTACGTTGTATCAAGCCTCTGTAAGCTTCGGTTCGAATGGTTGTATAAGTGTATGATGGCGTGTTGGTCTGCTGATAACTCCGTAATGATCAGCCGTACACCACTTAATGACATCGCAAAATAGTTGCTAGACCATATTGCAGCTGGAACAAATTTACTTGAAATATGTAATTTTATTGATGCATCCATATTGACGGATATTTTTTAATTTATATTTGGTAATTCGTTTGATAAGTGCTTTTTTAGTTTGCCTTAGTATCAGTTACTAATGACCATTGCATTACAAGGAGTGTGACGATTTACGGTCATTAATAAATTTTTCACTGGGTACTTATAAGTGGTCTTAATCAAGCCCATGTAATTGTATGGTAGTAAGTTAAAGGATATTTCACACATAGATAACGTCCTTGAACATATGCTTTACTAATTAGTGTGGATAGTTACAAGACTAGTAATTCAACGATCAAGTTTTCATTTCTGTATTCATTTCGCGCTCTACACCATTGCGTTAATGTGAGCTCATCATCTTCCAACAAATTAGTTATGCCAAATATCATTGATCTAAAATTTTATTGATGATATTAGTTTGGGAACTTGCATTCCTTAAGTGATTCTGGTCATTTTACTGCCGTGATCCAAACATATAAATTATGTCACTTTTAGAAAGTCATGGTTATCTAATTAAAATCATTCCATGATGATAGCCACAAAAATCCTCAGACTTTCAACGATTTCCTTTCCCGACAGCATAAACTCAAAGGTTTATCAAACGACAATCAAAAACTATATTTGATTTCAGTTTGTTTGGCAGTCACATCGAAACAAGCTACACGATGTCTAACCTCTACATTACTAACATAGCATGTGTTCGGTCACAGCGACGATAGTGTCACTACGTTGAAACATCGACTACGGTGGCTTGAACATGTCTTACTAATGTCGTGTCAAAAAATTCCATGTCCTGCATTGTTTACCAACGCTGGGACCAGCTGGAGAAGCAGAGAGGTGGTTAGTGTGTGACATGGTGTCATGGTATGAAAGACGTACAGCACTAGATTCTGTTGGTCCTTCACGACTCCCTGGTTGGGGTCCTAGAGATTGTGCAACACAGTGGCTAGAGACGCAATCAGACATGGTTCAGAATAGAAGCCATTGGCAATCCTGCTGTTACTTTCTTCATAAACATTAACGTATCTTTAACTGGAGGAATTCCTTCTGGTTGTATTTCGCTAACTGAATTGCCTCATTATAATTCCACTCACACACTAATTTCTGTTAGTTGTTCTGCTTTTTCTTATACACACTTTACATTCTTTGACTTCACAACATTGTTATTGTTTGGCGCGTATGCATTTAGTGGCCCACTTGTACCAATATGTATAAATAAAGTAAAATTTGTTCAATGGAAAGGGACGGTTGTGCGCCCTTGCTACCTGTTTTGTTTGTGTACAGATCCTTCAAAATGTTGGTGAAATTCTCAGACACATCCTCTCTCAGCAAACGAAAAATGGCCCTGTTATTAAGAAACAGCAATTGTTAACCTGCTAAAAGTATGTACCATAGCATTCGGCACAGTGTAAACATATGATCAACAAATCCACCACCAAAACGAAAGCCAGATTGTTCCTTGTAAAATAGTCTTTTATTGGCTTTGATCAATCTGTGAAGTGTGGTAGTTTGGACCCAGTCGAAAGTCAACTTATTCCCTTATAGTTGTTTCTAGATGATGTAAGACTTCCTTAAAGAGCAGGAGGTAAGCTGTCCAGGTTTATGCCGCTTCATGAGTTTGAGTTCCTTCTGGACTTTTCTAATTAGGTTTTATAGTTATCACTGTCAATGGACAACAGGACAATCTAATTGATGTTGCTGAGACAGCAAACTAGCTGAACGTTTCTCAAACGACTTCTGATCGTTAAAGACATCACTAGGTGTTACTAATTAGCGTCCTATTGTCGTCACGGATTGTCCCCCAAATGCCCTGGTACGGCCGAGAGTGAGGAGAGTCAGCTCTATATCACGGAATGCTCTCACATGGCTACGTGCATACAATCCCTGTCAGGGAAGTCTTACTCACTGCCTTCTCATGGCATTACTGTTGTTTACGAAACGAAAAGAGAATGTCCGGCGCTTTAACCGGGTTGGTGGATACGAAGGATCCACATAGGGAATTCGGACAATCGTGATTCCAAACCAATGGTGTACATGGGCTCTTATATCACTGGCTACCGCGGTTCTCCATCTCCTAACGATGCTCTACTGCCCTGTGGGTCAGACCTTCAGGTCGAAGGCTCCGGGTGTGACTTCCTAAGAAAACCACCTGCTTCTGTTTGGGCACCAGGCTAGTATCCCAGCCCTCACACAAATCAAAAGATTTATGTAGCGCATATCTATTTGGTGCCGTGTACCAATGTTTATTTATTCAAATGGATATGTAAACCACTCACACCGTAGTTTTTGGTACCAGTGGCTCAAATGATTTTAAACATTTCCCGGAAGTTACAGTATGCATCCGTTGTTTTCGACTCGTTAGCTCGCTCCGACCTCAAAGTTTCTCGATCTTTGCGGAAACTTTGCACAGTCTCCTAACGTAAGAATGTACATTTATCAATAAATTGGCACTTAGCCCGAGTTAACCGACGTGCCTCGAAAAGATTTAAGAAGCTTACAGAAGCTTGATGCTTGTAAGTAGGACGTTTTGCACAACCGCGAGAGGCGGGACTCGTTATTTTTCCTGACGTCAGGAAAAGACACCTAATCCTCATCTACACTTCTCGGTGGATCGGCTACTAACCTTGAACGTAACTCTAATATCTGGTTACAGCAAAAGCTACAGCCAATTTTCCTCTACCAATCCTTTTGGGACTAAAAGTTCTCTAATCATTAAAACCCTAGATACGCTTGCCAAAAACTAAACTATGACCGAAGTCCCAATAAATATCCCGAAATAACAGGTCTTTTACACAATCATTCCAGCAGTATCTGGTCATGATGCCAATCTGAGTCCAGGGATAAGTTTTAAAGTGACGATGCCAGTTTTTACATCGACTATAGCTGTCAAAATTGGTGCTGACTAGAAACAGACGGTGGTCTGCTCAGAGCTACAGGAAACAATCTTCGTTATCTAACCTGCTCCTAGCTAATCCCCTTTGGCTACGCAGACAACTATTCTATGTGTCTAAGCATCCTACTTGTGTATTCAAGTCTTCGTCTGAAGTCACATTATCCGCCGAACTCATTTACTGAAGACCACTTAACTTACAGTGAAACATATCTTTGATTGAATCTAGGTTGCAATATGAGAGCTTACTAAAAACATCTTCCCACGTTCTAGTTCCTTCTCAATTTAATGGAGTCTTCTATTCTGACAACCTTTATTTGGGATCCAATCGATTAGTGCAACCTCTGCTTTGATACTTAATGCAGTACCAGCGCCATTATAAAGAGAAAATGCCAGGGAATCTCCGGTTCGGCTCACACAAAACATGCTTTATAAATCGACAGATGAAGAACGGATTAGTAGTACCTCTCTAGAGTCTTAGACAAGAGTCCCGGATATACAGCAGACGTCAATATCAAGGCTTACCAAAGACATAACAAAATTTGTTCCATCTGTCTCAATATTTAACACTGAAAATGGTCATTTTGAATAAAAACGTGTGAAAGCATTTGGAATTGCAACTCCCCGCCGCATCGAAATCGAGCAGATAGGATAGAATTCTATCCATAGACAAGCAGCTGGGTGAGTTCGAAAATAAAGAAGTACACAAATTGGGACTAAAGAGTAGTAGATAAGTAACGGAGTGTAAAATAACAATGAATGTAACAAAACAATTTTGGATATTATTAGCATGAATAACAAGGCGGAAGAACATCTTTAAAATAATTATTATAATTGTATATAAGTCGATACACTACCCGAATGTTCATACAAAGATGGAGGCTTTTTAGATGCCTGCTCCCCTACCTTTCGACTGAGGTGTAATTTACAAGGCAGTTTATCAACATCAGAAGATACAGTCCCATCGCAACCGATGACCAAGATAGATTTATTCATCATTTATTCCTTCAGAACCTTAAACAGCCTCTACCAGGGAAGTCCTACTCACTGCCTTCTCGTGGCACAGGTGTTGTTTACGAAGACGAAAAGCAAATGTCCGGTGCTTTAACCGGATCACAAACCAATGGTGCACATGGGCTCCAGTACCTTGAGGGAACAAATATCGTATGAACCAATCGTTGGTCACCGGCTACCATGGGACTGCATCTCTCCACGATGCCCCACTGTCTTGTGGATCAGACATTCAGGTCGAAAACTCGGGGTGTGGCCCCTAAGAAAACCACCTGTTTCGGTTTGGGCACCCGGGCAATATCACAGCCCTCATACAAATCAATTAAGATTTGTGTGGCGCATATATATTGGTGCCTTGTACCAATATCTATGTGTTCAAATAAATATTAAATCAGGACCGTTAAGCACATATATACCAGAGTTTCTTAACTCCCCTAGGTGGACCCTTCGTATCCACCAACTCAGTTACAGCTCCAGAATTTCATTCACTTTGATTTAGATTCACAAGTAATTTCGCGTGTCATGTATAGCTGAAGACTAAGCATATACATCTGCACTAATAAGTAATTCATATTTTTTTAGAAAATACTGTAGTTATATAATACTCAAGATATTCTGTCATGTTGATCACTAACGGATTTGAATTAGCTACTATCTTTATGTACAACCGTAAGTGGCTGATATTATTTAACTCTCTATTCTTTTTGTTCACATTCTCTGTAAATTCCATTATTTTTTAGAATTAATAATGTCTAGTCAACCGATATCCAGACATCGGAAACAGCACTTTCCTCGTTTAGAACGTCGAAAATTAATTACTCCTCTATCTCAGAATCTCCCTCTCCAAGAATATGATTCAGATGAAGATCCAGTTTATATTTCTAAACATCCACGAAGTTCATTAATATCCACTAGTCATAAACCATTCCGTCCAGTCAAAACAGATTCAAAAGATACCAATGGATTATCTGGTCGTCCTGATAAACGTGCTAGAGATGAACACAATGAACAAGAACGTAGTCGTCGACGTGAACTTGCTGTTATTTATGAATTGATACGATGTAGTTTTTCAAATGATGATTTACGATATCTTGGTCATTGTAATGGTCCTAAGTCAGTTGATAAATTATCATATCCACAAGTTTTACAAATAGCTTATCAATTATTACGTGAAGAACAGCATAATTTGACTTTATTTGAAAAATCTTTAAATGATCTCAAATTAATTGAAAAAGAATTTGTCCGTGCCGGTCTCCCAGTACCTGAAAGACCTAAATGTCCTTATATATTAGATACTTATCGAAAAATGGTTCAACTTGTTGACAATTTACTACGTCAAGATAAACTGTAAGTAATCTATCTGTTTGTTTTATATTTTTAATGAGAAAACAAAACAACTTCCTTGTTAGTTGTTTTAGTCATGTCAGTTTTATTTCATCATACAATTTATGCTTCATAGTTTATTAAAGACATGCTATTTACCACAAAAATGGGATTTATTTATCCCTGTTTACTTTGTATTTTATTTATTTATCTAAACACAAAGAAGCACTGAGTACATATGAGCCACACAATTCACTTGTTTTGTGTGTGGGCCGTGGTACTGTCCGGGTGCTTAGACCGAAGCAGGTGGTTTCCTTAGAGGGCCTGTGACCCAAAGGTCTGACCCATAAGACAGTAGAGCAACGTTAGGAGATGCAGTCCCGTGGTAGCTGGTCACCAACAATAGGTTCATACGCCGTTTGTTTTCTCAGGATCATGGAGCCCATGTGCACCATTGGTTGGGTTTTCCAACTCCCCAAGGTGGATCCTCTATATCCACCAACCCGGTTAAAACATCGGACATTCGTCTTTCGCCCTCTCAATTTCGTAAACAACAGTAATGCCACGAGAAGGCAGTGAGTAGGATTTCCCTGGTAGTGGCTGTATACGTGTGGTCATGTGAGAGCTGACTCTCCACACTCTCGGTCGTACCACGGCATTTGGGGGCACATCATGGAATGATGTCAGTTATATAGCCATTCAAAACTAGGAAACAATAAACAGCTGTCCGGTTTTAAAATGAAGACTCTTCAGTAGTGCTCATCTAATACCTGAGGGTTTTGGACTTGATCTGCGATATATTCCTGAATAGCAATTTATTTTCGCTAAATCAATTAAGGTGATAGTAATATTATATTAACTATCATATCAAAACTCGCACCCAATTGGAATTCCAGTCTTTCTTGTTAACAATATTTTCAATATCACCCTATTTCTTGACCATACTTAACAATCTAAATTATTAAGATACTAACTTTTCTGTTTTTAAATATTCTATCATCATATTTGTAACTAATTAGTCTAATGTGGTTGTTTTGGGTTAGTTTCAGTTTGTATTACTGAAATATGTTTTTCCTATATCGTTTTCTTCTCTAAAAAAACCTACTTATTGTGTATGATTTTGTGCTTTGTACATGTGATCAAATTCTACTTGAACCAGATAGACTTGACTAATTCTATACTTGGTTGGTTTAAACAGTAAGTTTTGTATAATTTGTAGTTATCATGTTTATTGTTTATGTATAGTTTAGTTGATAAGATTCAATGACATTTCTTCAGTTTAAAGTGTTCATTGCAATAGTTGTTGTTGTATACTGTTAGACAACTTTATTATTATTATATCAGACTTCGTTATTTTATTTATATTTAACACATAGCTATTGGTACAACGAGGCACCAAATACATATGCGCCACACTAATCTCATTTGATATGTGTGAGGGGTGTGATACTGCCCGGGTGCCCAAACCGAGACAGATGGTTTTCTTATGGGGCCACACCCGGAGCCTTCGACCTAAAGGTCTGATTTACAAGGCAGTGGAGTATCGGGAGTAGATGCAGTCTTATGGTATCCAGTGACCGAAAATTTGTTCATACGTCATTTGTTCCCTCAGGACGCTGAAGCCCATGTACACTATTGGTTTTGGATCCTATTAAAACACCGGACATTCGATTTTCGTTCTCTCAGTTTTGCGAACAACAACCCCTCCACGAAAAGGCAGTGAGTAGGACTTCCCTGGCAGAGGCTATATACGTGTGGCCGTGTGAGAGCATTTCGAAAGCGAAAGTGGACTCTCCCCACTCTCGACCGTACTAGGGCATTTGAGGGCTATCTAGTGCTTCCAGATTATATTAATTGTGTTATAGTCTAAAATGTGTTCTCATCTGATTTAGTTAACTTTTGTTTTGAATAAAGTTTATAATGATTTTCCATTGATTCCGGGTTTTTTATTTTTATAAATTATTTTCAACAGAATATTGTGATTTTTAATTTCTAGTGCTCGATCTGTTGATGGTGTTTATGAGGTGACTCCTGCAGAACGTGCAGCTATTGGTGATCAAGAAATGTCATTTCTTTTACCACGTTCACATCATACATCTACTACTACTACTAGTACTACTACTACAGATTATTCTGATCGAATCAGAGGACGAAGATCATTTAATCTTATCAACCGATCAAATTATACTGATAGTTATTTAGAACGAGATGATACTAGAAGTTGTTTTTCTAATTGTTCAAATGTTTCTGTAACTCAATCTAAATTAAAACGATCCTCTTCTTCTGCATCTCTTGATTATGGCGTAGACGATGACACTGATTCAAATCTTTTACCACCTACACCTCCATCAATTAATCATCTTCATAGTACTACTTCTACTTATAATAATGACAATAATAATAATAATAATAATAATACTCATAGTACTAATAGTAGTAACCAATGGTTAGACAATTCTGAATTCCTGAATATTTTATCAGAACTTAAAGAAGATCCTGATAATAGTAAGAATGAATTTCAAACACCAATTGAAGAAATTGATGATGATGATGATGTAGATGTAGATGTTGATGGTCTTTTGTTAAATTTTATTTCCGATGAACAACTTAACTAAATTATTTTTAAATAAACTACACATTGTATATGTATATAGAAAATTATGTGTATTCATATCTTTGCTTTTCATCATATTGTGCCTTCTTATATATATATATATATATATATATTTTGCTACCGTATATTACATTTCATTATTGTTACTATTAGCTTCATTGTTTTGTATTCTTTTCTTCTATATTCTTTAATTACTCATTAGTGTCTATATATATATGTACTTCATTATATTATCATTAATTTAATCCTCCTTACTAGTATTTCATAAGTCCATTCAACAAGAACTTTATCACACTGGGAAAATAAATATACTTCAGTTACCATGTTCATGTTGTATTACACACACATTTATATATATATATATATATATATATATATATATATATATATATATATATATATATATATAAATCATGTTTTTGGCAAACATTGTGGATCAAAGTAATTACTTTGTGTTTTCTTTTCTCTCAATTGTTTTTTTTTATCTTACACTTACCATTGTAGCACTCTGTGTGTGTGTGTGTGTGTGTGTGTGTGTGTGTGTACGAAACAATTTCAATTCACATTATTATCAATGTAATAGTAAGTCATGTTTTCTAAAAATAAAAAGGAAAACAAATAATCATATGATGATAGATAATGAGTAATCAAAACAAGATTACATTCTTATGTACTTAGGATAGGGGGTGAAGTAGTCGAACGCGTTGACAACTTCACTTATCTTGGAAGTCTGATCAGCCCTAATGGGTTGGTGTCTGACGAAATCTCAGCACGGATTCGAAAAGCTCGCTTGGCCTTTGCCAACTTACGTCATCTATGGCGAAGACGAGATATCCGTCTATCAATTAAGGGACGAGTATACTGCGCGGAAGTTCGTTCCGTCCTTCTATACGGCTGCGAAACATGGCTTTTAAGAGTGGAAGATATTCGTAAGTTACTAGTATTTGACCACAGGTGCCTTAGAAATATTGCGGGTATCTGCTGGGATCACCGGGTAAGTAATAGTGAGGTTAGACACAGGGCACTAGGGAATGATGGTAAATCAGTTGATGAGGTTATGAATCTTCATCGACTGAGATGGTTGGGCCACGTGTTGCGTATGCCTGAACACCGATTACCACGACGCGCAATGCTGACTAGTGCAGGGGATAATTGGAAGAAAGTTAGGGTCGGCCAAACCAAAACGTGGCATCAGTGCTTGAAGTCACTAACTTCTGGTCTGAGCCATGTTGGGAGATTCAGACTGCCTGGTTGGGATCCGCGTGACTATCGTAACCAATGGTTGGAGACTCTTGGTGACATGGCTCAGAATCGATCACAATGGCGTCGGTGTATACACTCTCTGTCTTCCTTAAATTAAGAGAGTAAAATCGCTTCATATCTGTCTAGGAACTAATTCTTTCTTCCTTTACTATCTCCTTATATGCAATCTTTCTTCTATATATTACCACCACTGAATTAACTACTCCTATGAATCCGGTGTTCATCTTGTTGTGCTAATGCGGTATAGCAACTTGGACCGATGCATATACGTGCCTGGTCCTACGTTGCAGCTGACTGACTGACTCTTATGTACTTACATCTTTGAGTATGCTACAGAATGATCTACATTTGTAGTAGGAACAGGAAATAAATAATAATATAATTTTTAAACAAAGATAGTGGTTGCTAGCAGTGGAATCTAGTTTAACGCATGTTTTGTCCTATACGGGACTCGAACCCGGTACTGTTCGCTTCAAACGCTATCGTGTTATCCACTTAGCTACTGAGTCTTGATAGCCACTAGTTTGTGCAATGAGGTGGAGTTTAAATTCATGTGGTGTTGTTTTATTGTATGTTTCCATTGACGTTTAGGACTGCAGTTGATCGAGTCCCAGAGTGAACATCAAGCTGACGAGCCCCAATTAGGACAAAATGTGCATCCTGGATTTAACTGCCTGCCATTATCCATCTCTGATTGAAAAGATGATGACTTAAGACTATATCGGGGCAATACGCACTGTATGCACATATGCCTACATGAGACTGATCAATTGCAGTCCTAAATAACAATCGGAAGATACAAGTAAAACAACACCAAGTGAATAATATGATTTATAGGTTGTATACGTCGTAGGTTGATCTCATTTGTGGGGTCATTGAAAATCAAGAAGCGTTGTAGTATGGGACCTTTTAGTACCAGGCACCCATTTAGGAAAAGACCAAAAACCTTCAGGTGTTTTTGCGAATGCTTTACTGTTAGAATCACTGGGCAGTAACCCAGCCCTCATATAAATTGAATGATTTATTTGGTGCCTCGTCGTACCAATGTTTATGTGTTTAAATAAATAAACTGAATCGGAATTCGTTTGGACAGTTTTAACGTCAATCAATATACGACATATTGTGACGGTCGTCCAGTTCCACAGATGGTAATTGTTTCATTCTCAAAATGACTCAACTTCACCAGTAACAACTCTTCCAATTAAATTACAATAGCATCAGTATAAAATAGGCGTTAACGAGATTCGCTGAATAGTACAATGGTTACCCTTAACTATTAAGATACGATTGTTTTAACGTAACAGATGGATTAAAGGGTTCACATTATCTGGATACACAGAATCCGTAGTATTTATCTTCAGTGGTAATATCTATAATTTCCTTTTTGTATACAAATTACTGCCCCGCTTACACTAAAGTAAATCATTGCAGATATTTTTTTGTACAGTAAAGTTGCGAGGAATTTTGATAAGATCGACCATATGTATTTAAATGTACATCTAAGTAGCTAAGTAAATCTTATTTAGTAGGTACAATGCATCAGCTGTATCAGCTTCCATTTCATAACGAACCTGGTCCTAACCTATGTGTCTGAATAATTTACTCGCATTGACTTCAAAGATGGTCCTATCAAAAAAGTTTACAGTTTTCTAAACTGTTGGTATCCCTCACAAAAATCGTTAAAGTCTAGGCCTTCAACTTACCTGGAGATCGAGTACTCCTAAGGCGTGGAATTGACGTTAATAAACCAAATTACTATTGAAAATATAACAGTTCACGTATGGTTTTGTTCTCAAATAAGAACAGAATATACTGTTACTAGTGTTTAAATGAGAATTAATGTATTTCCCTGCATAGTTAATAAAGTAGACTAGTATCTTAAATCGTTCAACTAGAATGTAATCTCATCTATTCCTGTAGTATTTCTATGGCTTATTTATGAATATAGAATCACATTACGAGAATACGATATATAACAAAATATCATTCTTTTATATAAATTAGAATCTAGGCTTATAATCAGGTTACGTGTCGACGTGTATGAAGTCAGATGATTAAATGAAAAGTTAAATAATCCAATCATGTACTTTTATCAGCCTATATACATATACGTAAATGATTATGATAGGAATGTTTACAAACGATTGTATTGTTGTTGTTATTATTATTCATTGTTGAATGTTTTAGTGATTATCTGTGAACACATTCCTTTTCAGTTTAACTCAATAACTAACCTTTATTTGACCCTGTAAATCACCAACGTAGATGATCTTTGTTGAATGATTGAGGGCCTACTCGATTTAAATGAGAATGGTGTGACCAACCAGCTAACGTCGAAGTTACATCTCGCGGTCAACACCTAAAGTGGATTACCTCTTCGTCGTATCAAGATACTACGGCTGTTTTTTTTTTGTAGATCGTATAACACGAAAGATGGTACTATGGAAATATATTAATAAGAATGAGTACAGATAAGATAACGAGACCACGACTGCATGGGTCAGTTCATCGTATATGACTAATCGATACGCGTAGGTTGTTGTTGACCTTGACGAGAGATCGATGATCTGTTCAATATTCAGTGACCCAACTGCCAGATGATTTGTCTAGAGCTCAGTGACATTTCACTGGCCCTACAATCCGAATGATAAAATCACCTGGTCATCTCCCACCAACGTTTCCGTTAAAATAAGTATACACAAGATTTTTGTGATTAATGATTATCAGTGGTTTTATTATATAAATAAATTGTAAATTACACCATCGAGGTTGATATGCAGCAAAATATTTTTTTACATGAATGATCTTGTATTAGTCAATTAGTTCTAGATAGAAAACGTATATCATTCAACTATAAAGTATTAGATTCATGTTTACTTGAATCTTCCCATTGATGTTTCTGACTACAATTGATTAGCGTCATATTGGCATATGTACATATTGCCTTAATTCACAAGCATTCTAGGCAAAGATGGATATTGGCTAGCAGTGGAATCCAGTTTGAGACGCGTTTCATCCTATTTGGGACTCATCAGCTAGGTGTACCTGCATCTCAAAGTGGCTAACAGGACTCAGTAGCTAAGTGGAGAACGCGGTGAAATATAAGTCTATAGATTCAACCTTTAAAGTAATTTTAATTAAACAGCATGTTATTAATCTTAGATCTAAAGTTTTTCGTTTAGGACTGAAATTGATCAGTCTCTTAATGGCATATATGCATACTATGTGTATTGCCTTGATTTACAAGCAAGTGGCCATCAGGACTCAGTAGCTGAGTGGATAACGCGATGACGTTTGAAGCGACCGGTACTGGCTTCGAGTCCCAGAATGAATATCAACACTGAGATGAAGGTACATCCACCAAACAAGTCATAAACAGAACGAAATGCACGTTAAACTGGATTTCACTGCTAGACACTATTCATCTTTGCTTAGGTTTGTGAACTATCAGTCAACATTCATATTCCATCTCCAAATTATTAATGTGTCCTTTTGCGATTAGAACCTATATCACATTATTATTGATCTATTCAAATAGTGACTAACGTGCTAGACTGGGTAATATTGTACATGATTAATTAATGAATAGTAATCAAGTTACCTTATCCCTTAGTTTTGATCGAACTAAACCTGTGAACTATCATAAACATGAACATAGATGATCACACTTGAATATAATCGATAGATATCCTAGACTAGATAAATAAGACAATGTCTACTTAGATTAAGGTGAATTGTCTATTTCTTCAATAATATTAATGTGATCAGAATGTGTACTTTTGTTGTTTCATGTTTTGTTTTTCCAGTTCATATAGTCAAATGTATGTTGTGTTTATTATCTTCCTAATGCTTAATATAAGGTCATCCACAGAAAAAAAAGTACTTTATATCGATGGTAAATGTCAAGTAATTGTATGCATGTTTATTCATGGGATTAATAAGTAATTCAGTTTGTATGTATATCTTTAATATAAGCAAAGATGGATAGTGGTTAGAAGTGGAATCCAATTTGACACGCGTTTCATCCTATTTGGTATTCGTCAACTGGATGTACCTGCATCTCATAGTTGATATTCATTCTGGGACTCGAACCCAGTACCGGTCGCTTCA